TCTATTAACTTGGATTTCTTTACAGCCTTTAAGTTTGTTGCAGTTAGGCCATTTTTATCTCATGGCCCATTGTAATCTATTTATACAATCAAAAGGACTTTAAATAGCAATTATTTCAATGTGAAGTTATTCTTCTAATTATCTTTAAACTTTTTACATATTTTAAATGTAAGCCATGTTGGTGGAATTTTTTAAAGACCAATTCCAGTTTCAAAAAATTGGAACTATTACAGTTAGTCATCACTGATTTTTATACATTCTTATTTGAAAGTTTAGTCATTCCTTTGAATCTTGTGATTCACAGGAGCTGAGAAGTTAAAGTAATTGTATTCCTGTTTCATTCTAAGTTAGGTCATTAATGATATGTTTTATTTGGATTTGGTGTGAATCTACCAAGTTACGTGGTGTATCTCTGTTCAGGAATAATTTCAAAATCTCTCTCTAAATCTGAAAAAAAGACATGGTCAAAAGAAGATTGTTTTAAGGTTTCATCGTCATCTTTCTTTAAAATGTAAGCTGAGTACATTGACCATCATTGAAGTTCTTACAGGACCACAAGTTAATAATTTTGAACACACATTCACATCCTAAAGTGATGTGATAGAACATTACATGGAATCTGCTAGTCCCAAGATCTACCCCAAATACCATGGTCTGAAGAATTTTTTAAAAATCCTTAGCTCATCTTAAATTGCTTCTTTCTAGTAAAAAGCGTATTAGGGGAGAATTTCTGGTTACTTAGGCTCTATATTTATCAGTGTTTCATTATATAATTTTTAAGATTTCTTACTGATTTTAATAATAAGTATTAAAGAAGCAATTTTTGATAAGCATTTAAATTTCTAAAACTATGAGTTATTTCTCTCCAGTACTGACTTGTTTGAACTTATGACCAAATAGATCTTTAAAAGATAAAATAGTGATGAAGCACTTTTAATGGAGACCGTGTGAGCGTTTTCTGTAGTCGGTGAACCAGAAGGTCGGAGCGTTTTAGCCAGGGAACATGCAGATGGAGTGTTCAGCCTGATGACAATTTTCTGTCAGTGTTTGTGTTCCCCTCTGGGGCTCACCAGGTACTAGGAATATATTAGACATGAAAAACTTTTGCCTAACAGTACATACTTCAGAATTTCTTTAATGTCATCACTTTAAGTGTATTAAATGTATGACTTTAAGCAAGTGACTGCCATAGGTTTAAAAGGGAGTCTCTGTTCTTTTGAGTGGGATATGATTTCTTACTCTGATGTGATAAAGTCTCTTTTCCCAATCTTTTCAGTTTATAATCAAGAAGAAGATTCTTTTTATGTCCACCATGATATCCTGTTGTCTGCATACCCTTTGAGTGTGGAATGGCTAAATTTTGATCCTAGCCCAGATGACTCAACTGGTAATGAGAAAAAGATTGCTCAGTGGTTCCACTCCTGTGTGTTTTGCCTAGCTACACACGTCATCTATTTTGTATGAATGTTTCCAGAATGGTTGATGTTTTATGAAGTTACATAGTTTTCAGACCACAGCCACTTAATTGTTTGGGGTCTGTATGTCTCCAGACTTTGAACACGCTAAAGAGGTAGCTGCTCACTAGGCGGAAGGACAGGGCCTGATGAGGGCTCAGAACTGTGAGGAGGTCTCCTGAAAACCCAGTGTAAACTGGCATGCTGTGTCCATTGTCATCAGGTAGAGTTCCGTGCACGACCCTTTTCAGAAAACACAAAGTAGAACCAGAATGAAGAGAGAGTCAGGCTCTTAGCTTAGTCCCTTTGGCCTTAGCGGCACACTGTTCCTTGCCCCATCATGCTTAATAATTAGGGTAAAAACTGTTAATACTCACACCTCACATCTTGTTTGCAAAGCTTGTTCACATTCATGATCTAGTCAAATCCTCATCCTCACCACAGCCATGAAGGTAGGAAGGGCTCTGTCATTCTATCAGTGAAGACCCTGGGACCAGGAGACGGAGCCCTCGTTACTCACGCTGTGGTCTGAGGACCAGCAGCACAGCATTGCCGCCATCTGCGAACCGGTTATAAATGCAGTTTGAAGGCCCCACCCAAGACCTCTGGAAACAATACGCATTTTAACCACATCCAGGCACATGAAAGTTTGAGAGAACTTGCTCTAAGCCATGAGTCAGTTAGTCTGTATGTAGTGTATTTCATTAGAAGTTATTTTTTAAATCACAAATGTATCATTTCCTCCTGTAGGAAATTACATTGCTGTGGGAAACATGACCCCTGTTATTGAAGTGTGGGACCTGGATATAGTGGACTCTCTAGAGCCAGTCTTCACACTTGGAAGTAAGCTGTCAAAAAAGAAGAAAAAGAAAGGAAAGAAGGTAAACAAGCTAATAGATAGTTAAACTCTAATGATAAATAGAAATAGGTTTGGGGGGAGGTGGGAGCAGGGGCTGAGAATGTGCGCTGTTTCAGCTAGACAGTTTTGGTGGAATAAGATAAAGTAGTTACAGAGTTACTGTAGTTTCTAGTTTCAGAAGGCCCATCCAAGGAAAGAGCGATTTCTGATTACATATAACCTACACTAGCACATTTTTTCATGTGCTAGCGTGGTTACTCTTAGATTATGATCCTCCTTATGTATAGTAGCTATTCACACTAATATGCTACTTTTGAACTTTTAAAATGTTTCTCTTTAGCCTTGAGTATATTGAATTCTAAATATCCTTGTATTCCTATAACTTTTAAAATTTTGGTGAGGGAGAGATGGGTTGGGGGTTGATTTATAGAATTATAACAGATTAAGAACTACTATAGTTTCTTCCCTGTAAAGAACATTTACCATATCTCTGAAGTAAGAGGGAGACAAGGTGTTTCTTTCCCTAGATCTTGGAGCAAGTTTATGTAAGATCAGAATAATCTTAAGGTTTTAAAGAATCTTTCAAATTAATAAACCAATTTTATTGGGGGGATGCTTTAATACCAAAAGTAATTAAACAATTATTACAGAATTCCTCAGCAGATGGGCATACAGATGCTGTCCTTGACCTTTCTTGGAATAAGCTGGTCAGGTAAGAAGAAATACTATTTGAAGGCTTGTTAAAGACTGTAACCACTGTGATTTTGCCTCACGTCTTCATTCAGTCTCTCTACATTGTGTTTTCACATCTTTATGTCCTTGTTTTCTTTTCTTTCCCTGCAGTATACCTTGCTGGGAGGCAGAAATGCTGCTATCTGTATCCTTGCAACCCCCCCCCCCCCCCCCGCCGTCTCTTCACTTGGCAGATGCTCATTACCTGTGTGGGGACCAGGTGCCCTTCTTCCAGCACTGCTGGGAAAAGCAGCATGTACTCAGTTGCCGTGCCAGTGATGTGGGAGAATTGTTACTGCAAGGAAGACATTTTTCTCACGTCGTTTAGTTTTGACAACATCTTGTCCACATATTCTTTTTTTGTAAAATACTATCATTTTAACCGTGTTTAGGTGTACAGTTTTTTGGACACAGTTTTTCTGGACATCTCACACATTGTTGTGCAATCATTACCACCATTCAACTCCAGAAGTTTTTCTTCTTCCAAAACTGAAACTATATGCCCAGTAAACAGTAACACCCCATTTCCTGCCCACCCACGTCTTAGTAACCACCATTCTGCTTTCTATCTCTGAGTCGACTTCTCCAGGTGCCTCTTATGAGTGGAATCATATAGTATTTGTCTTCTTGTGACTGGCTTATTTCACTTAGGAAAAGGTTCATCCGTGTTGTAGCGTATAGCAGGAGTTCCTTCCTTTTTAAGACCAAATGATACTCCATTGTACATATATGCCATATTTTGTTTATCCATCTGTTATGGACACCTGGGCTGTTTCCACTTCTTGGCTCTTGTGAATAATGCTGGTGTCATTCACATATGTATAATAACATGGGTTTACATGTATTTGTTAGAGTCCCTCCTTTGAGTTCTTTTGAATATACAGCTAAAATTAAAATTGCTGGAACTAATGGTATTTCTACATTTAACTTCTTGAAAAACCACCATACTGTTTTCTATAGCAGTTGCACTGTTTACCTTCCAACCAGCAGTGCACAAGGGTTCCAGTTTCTCCACATCCTTTTGAACACTTGATACCTGCTGTTTCTGTTATTGTTGTCTTTGTAATAGCCATCCTAACTGGTGTGAAGTGGTATCTCATTGTAGCTTTGAGTTGCATTTCCCTAGTGATTAGTGATGTCAAGCATCTTTTCCAGCACTTGTTGGCCATTTGTATATCTTCTTTGGGGAAATGTCTATCCAAATCCTTCTGTCCATTTTTTTAGTTGTTTGGTTTTTTTTTTTTTTTTTTGCTGTTATAAATGAATGAAATGTGGTTTCCTTGGTGGCTCAGATGGTAAGGAATCTGCCTACAATGCAGGAGACCTTGATCCCTAAGCTGGGAAGATCCTCTTTGCTATTAAGTTGTAGGAGTTCTTTATATATTCTGAAAATTAATCTCTTAAGAGATTTGTGATTTGCCAGTATTTTCCCCCATTCAGTGGATTGACTTTAACCCTGTTGAAGTGTCCTTCAAAGCACAGAAGTTTTTCATTTTGATGTGGTGCAGTTCATTTTCACTTTTGTTGCCTGTGCTTTTAGTGTAATGGAGAAGGAATTGGCAGCCCACTCCAGTACTGAAGGATCCCATGGACGGAAGAGCCTGGTGGGCTACAGTCCACGGGGTTGCAAAGAGTTGGACATGACTGAGCGACGTCACATTCTCATTAGTGTAATAGTGAAGAAATCATTGGCAAATCCACTGTCACGAAGATTTTTATCCCTTAAAGTTTTATAGTTTTAGCTCTTAGGTTAAGTCTTTGATATATTTTGAGTTATTTTGTATACTCTGTAAGGTAAGAGTTCAACTTAATTCTTTTTTGTGTCATCCATGTATTTTTTATACTTATTACCTCAAAAGGGCCATTTTCCTAATAGTACAGTTGGTTTGAGGAGCTACTGAGGCAAGGAAGGTAAGCATTAGGATGAGTACAACTTACTTAGAGGGGAAGAACAAACTTGATTACCCAAGACAGTTTTTTAAAGGCATTTCTATTACACTGAACACTTCATAATTTGAGCACTCTAAGGAAGATCCCAGAGTGCTAGCTTCCTGGAGGATATCCTTCCTGTCTACTCATTTGTGTTCAGACCTCTACAGAGCTACAGCTATTTGGGGAAATGGACTTGAGAACATTGTTTAGGTTAGTATTTCCCAAACTTAGCTGCAAATCAGAACCTCTGGGTAACCTCTCAGTATATTGAAAATCTTGCATTTCTTTTGTTAAATTTATTCCTAGGTATTTTATTTTATTTTTTGGTAGGGTTGTAAGCGGAACTCTTGCATGCAGTGCTCTTGATTTTTAAAAGATTACCCGATTTGTTTCCTCCCTCTCTCAGAAATGTGCTGGCCAGTGCATCAGCTGATAACACTGTTATTCTATGGGATATGTCCTTGGGGAAGCCAGCAGCTAGCCTCGCCGTACACACAGACAAGGTATAGTGATTTCGTGGTAAGAGGGATTCTAAAGAGCTGGGACATATATTGACTACAACAGATAATCCCAAACATTTATATATGACTTTTTGTGAATTACAAAGTGCTTTGACATGCTAGCCCACTGGATCTTCACAGAGCCCTTTGTGATAGTTATAATTATTATCCTCTTGAGCTGTGCAAAAATAGGTACCGAAAGGTAAAGTGACTAGGAACATTAGTGCTTTGCAACATTTTTTACAGAGGTTTCTAGAAAGGAATGAAGGGTGTCAGTCACATAATAGGGTTAAAGAATTTAACAGTTGATACTGCAGAACCCAGGGATCTAATGTGCTAATGCATGTTGTGAAACTTCCAGAACGTGTAGCATTGCCCAGTAAGTTTGACCACTCCCCTTTTTCTTCTGACTATACTTTAACATCTGAGGGACATATGTATTCTGCCTAGCACAATTTGGGGAATGCTGCATTGGGTCTTTTAAGTATCAGCCTTTATTTAGAAGTATGTTTTGTCCTTCTGATTATGTAGTACATTTATGCTTCTTCACGTAATACATTTCAAAGGAAAGAATTTGTAGGAACACTACTAAGTTGATTCCCATCATGTATTAGGCAGTTTTACCAAAACCAAACAAACATTTATCTATTAATTTATGTTCCTTCCTCTTAGGTCCAGACTCTCCAGTTTCATCCATTTGAAGCACAGACTCTGATTTCTGGATCATATGATAAGTAAGATAGCATTTTAGGAATTAATTGTTGTTGGTTTTTTCCCTCTTGAACTAACTCAGAAAGTATCACTGAATGTTCAGATAGAATTTATTACTGTGGCTTTTATGTGTTTAAATCTTTAGTAGTACTTATTTGTCCTTTCAGCTTGATTCTCTCAGTCTGCAAGGGAATATGGTTCTGTTGTAATTCCTAACATCTCCTTCAATTTTTAGAGGGTGTATGAGTTGGATGTTGCTCTGAAGCAAGCCATCCCCAAATTCAGTGTCTTAAGTGATGAATATTTTCTGCTTGTTCTGTGCAAGGTTGAGCTAATCAAGGCTAGATTCAACTGATAGCTCTACTAATCTTGATTTGTTTAGGCCCAAAGACTCTCCTGTTTCACATCCTTCTAAAACTAGCAGGCTAGTCCACATATGTTGCCACAGCAAGGTCAGTAGTACAAACAGAGACACCAGGGCCTCTTAGACATGGGCTCAGACCTACTACACATCTGTCTTACTCTAGGCTGAAACAGACATCACATGGAGTGGAAAATGAACTCTGCCTTTAGGGGAGGCACTCCTAGATCACTGACAGAGGGCATGGATGTGGGGAGAGATGAAGAATTGGGACCGCTGCAGTCCATCACAGGGGGTTTCCAAATCATGTGTGTGCTCTTTACAGATTGGAGATGGGAGAGGTAGCTAATAAAAACAGAAAATAAGTTGCAGTCTTTTATTTTGTATCCTTATCCTTTTGTAATTGGGATTGATGCAAAACTACACAAGTCTGTTCATCTGTTCCCCCAACACAGTAACCTGCTTGTAGAGAGTAAATGTGACTGAGACATGTTACCTGGCTTCCCTCATAGCTCAGGTGGTAAAGAATCCTCCTGCAATGCAGGAGACCCCGGTTCGATTCCTGGGTCTGGAAGATCTGCTGGAGAAAGGACAGGCTACCCACTCTAGTATTCTTGGGCTTCCCTTGTGGCTCAGCTGGTAAAAAATCCGCCTGCAATGCGGGAGCCTGAGGTTGGATCCCTGATTTGGGAAGATCCCATGGAGAAGGGAAAGGCTACCCATTCCAGTATTCTGGCCTAGAGAATCCCATGGACTGTGTATAGTCCATGGGGTCACAAAGAGTTGGACACATCTGAGTGACTTTCACTTCATTCATCTGTTCCCCCAACATGGTAACCTGCTTATAGAGAGTAAATGTGGCTAAGACTGGCTCTGAGCAGTATTGGAGAAAGACAGATTAGAAATTGTCCTTTTCTTTGGGCAATGGAGACGATTCGTTTTTGAAATAGAGGATTCACTCTGGGGGAAGTCAAGGCCACTGTGACATCTGGAGCCACCAGTGTCTTCAAGTGACAGGACCAGAGTTCACCAATTAGTAAGAAGCAACTCATCTGTTCTTTTAGAACCTTAAAATAGGCTGTAGATAATTGGGTCTTGATGTCATGGTGGGGGTTATTGAACTCTTAAAACCCTAACTTTGCCTGGACACGCCCAGGTCCGTGGCTCTGTATGACTGCCGGAGTCCGGAGGAGAGCCACCGGATGTGGCGCTTCAGTGGGCAGATTGAGAGAGTGACTTGGAACCACTTTTCACCGTGTCATTTTTTGGTAAGAATATGCATATTACTGTTTATTAATGACTTATTTTCTTTACTTCCGTTGTAGAAAAGCTTTTTCTATATCAACGGTGTGAAGTATTTGCATTTGGGTTTTTTTTTTTTAAAAAGATCTCTTTTAACAAGAGAACAATGAATTCACCACAAAAAAAAATGGTAAACATGTAAATAATTTTGCTAATTTCCAACCATTCCAAAGCATGCCACATTTTTTAGCTATAATAATGAGTTGATCATTGTAAAATTATTTTGTAATACTGAGCATGACAAATACTAAGCAGGCACACGTATTTTCTAGGTTATTTGCTAACATGGTTATCAGTACTAAAATCACAAAAATTCATTTTGTTTCCAATGATTAAGTCAGTTCAAGAAAATTTTCCTTTATTTAAATATTAGTACTTAAATGGAGCTCCAGTGATGCTAATGCTAGCATGTTTAATTAATATAGCACTTATACCTCCTCTGCTGATCCGGACAGTAAAGAATTTGCCTGCAGTGTAGGAAACCCAGGTTCGATCCCTGAGTTGGGAACACCCCCTGGAGAAGGAAATGGCAACCCACTTCAGTATTCTTGCCTGGAGAATTAATTCCATGGACAGAGAAGCCTGGTGGGCTATAGTCCATAGGGTCACAAAGAGTCAAAAACGACTGAGTGACTTAACACTTACTTACTAATGTACCACTGTCTCCCAGATGGGAAGAAAGTTTATGATCATTTTGTGAATACCCATAATATCTGCAGAGAACAGTTTTCCATGTTGCATCGAAAGATGCCACTGATATTTCAGTTCATGGAAAAATAAAATCCCAGCTTTTATCTAGAAGCGAAGGTATCATGTATTTCCTAATTCTCCTAAAGCAAATATCTAGCGCTTTATAAATGAGGGACAGAATTCTTTGGCAAAAAAAAACAAACTTTATTTGAATATGTGAGGTTTCAGTAAGGTTCCTGCAGTTGTGATTCTGGGGGCATATCATCTCAACCCCGTGCAGAGGTGCATGCAGCTCCCAGCCTGAGCCACCTCAAGCCAGATCCCATCTTGCAGTATCTCAGTGAAGTCCCAGTTACATTGGAAAGCTGGCTCTCAGCAGGCAGGCACACACATGTCCTAGGTTATTTGCTGCCAAATGGTTATCAGCCCTAAAATTCTAGTCCTTGTAAGAGCCAACTCAACTTACCACAAGTGAATTCTTTATGTCCATGTGAATTTTTAATAAGCATCTCAGGTATGTCAGGTCCATAGCTGATTTTCACAAGGATTTACACTATTTACCCATTGCTAAATTTTATTATCATGTAACATTGCTGTGCTCATCTTTTACTCTTTCCAGGCCAGTACAGATGATGGCTTTGTATATAATTTGGATGCACGTTCAGATAAGCCAATTTTTACCCTTAACGCACACAATGATGAAATTTCTGGTGAGCAAGAATATAGTTTCTTTCATTTCTGTTAACCTATGATGAAGTAAATTTATTTCAAAGTGAGAGTCCCTGAACTAGTCTTATCTTCCTCTAGGTCTTGATCTAAGCAGTCAAATCAAGGGCTGTCTTGTGACTGCATCAGCAGACAAGTACGTGAAGATCTGGGACATATTAGGAGACAGGCCAAGTCTGGTTCACTCTCGTGATATGAAAATGGTAAGAATACTCATGGGCATCTTGGTTCTTTCTGTTTCTGATCTATTGTTGTTCTCTAGGAATCACTGCACAAAAGAATATGGATTTGTTGGGAAGTTAATTTGGGGCTTAGTCAAATTGTGGAAGTTTTCTAATTTAGGGCAATTTGGGGAGAAATCAATGACTGTCTGGTTCCTTTTCCAACTTTCATGATTAACAGTTGCTTGTGGAAAACCAGGATGAGGAGGAGGTGGTTTTCCAGTACAGAAGTGAAATGGCTACAAATTTTTTTTACAACTTTACATTGGAGTATGGTTGATGAACAATGTTGTTTCAGGTGTCAGCAAAGTGATTCAGTTATACTTAAACATGTATCTACTCTTTTTCAAGTTATTTTCCCATTAAGATTGTTACATAATATTAAGCAGACTTCCCTGTGCATTGCAGTAGGTCCTTCTTGGTTATGCATCTGAAATACAGCAGTGTGCGCATGTCACTTCCTAACTCCCACCCTTGCCCCCATTCCCTGCTGGCAACTGTATGCTCCACAGTTTTTTAACCTTAAAATCAAGCCCATCTCTGAAAATCTTGAACCTTTTAGGGCACCACAGTTGTTGAGGTCAGTTTATCACCTACCTCTTTGTATAACTATTTAATAGTTCTTACTACACTGAAATTACTACATAGTAGCAAAAGTTTTAGAATTGATTAGAATTCAACAATTCATCAAATACTTATTGAGTATAGTGTATACCAGGCGTTATAAAAATTCAGCTGTAGACATAGAACACTATACAATTGTTTAAAACTGTATACATGAATGTTTGTGTATTTTAAAATATGGGTAGGCAGTTTTATAGAGCATTTTTTCCAAGTATTTATCTTAATTGAAGGATAATTACAATATTGTGATGGTTTTTGCCATATATCAATATGAATTGGCCATAGGTATACATGCCCCCCCCATCCTGAACACCCCTCCCCACCTACAGAGCAGTTTTCATAGTATTATCCCATGCATATATTTAAATACTTAAGTTTTCAATGCTTATATGTAATTCTAGAAGACCCTGTGCCAAAACATGAACAGCTGATTATCTCGGAGTTATTTTTATACTTCGTGTTTATATTTTCTATGATGCATGTAGGCTTCCCTGATAGCTCAGCTGGTAAAGAATCCTCCTGCGATGCAGGAGACCCCAGTTCGATTCCTGGGTCGGGAAGATCCCCTGGAGAAGGGATAGGCTAGCCACTCCAGTATTCTTGGGCTTCCCTTGTGGCTCCACTGGTAAAAAAAATCCACCTGCAATGCAGGAGACCTGGGTTCAATCCCTGAGTTGGGAAGATCCCCTGGAGAAGGGAAAGGCTATGATGCATGTGTTATCTAGTAATAGAGTTAAAAAACAAAACATTAAACTTTTAACATTAAATGATTGTACTATAGCATTATTACTTAAAAAGGAGAATTCGTTTCTGGGAGTATTAAGCAGATCAGATTTACTAGGAAATCCCTATTAGATGATAACAGAGATGTGAGCCTGAGTGGTCAGAGCATGCACCCAGTCTCACAGAGATAATCCCACCAACTTGACTGTTTTGACTGTGAAGTACCTTTACAGGAGCCCTGAAGGAGATTCTGGTGGGTTGGTTTTCAGTGGCCTTCAATCGTAGGGTCTTGTTGACAGGAGTAGGGAATCGAGATTAGCGCTTTCTGGGAAGATTGAAATCACTGACTGTATTCTCTTCTCAGGGAGTTCTCTTCTGTTCTTCCTGTTGCCCTGATTTGCCATTTATTTATGCTTTTGGAGGTCAGAAGGAAGGGCTTCGGGTCTGGGATATAAGCACAGTCTCTTCAGGTAAGAATCTTAATTTCCTGCTTTTTCTGGGTAAGTTCTGTAAGAGCAACATAGAACGTGTGGCTTGAATACATCAGGGAGACGGCAAAGGCAGACCCAGTATTCATCCTCCAGTACAGTCGCTGAGGAAACCGACAAGATCAAATTGTAATGTGGAAATGCTCATATTTACAAATAAGTTTGTCTTCATACTTTAATTTTAAAATATCTATGACAAAATTTGAATTTTAAAAACGAAATATTTTATTGGCAAGCTGGAAGGGTATATAGTATGGTCTCCTCTCCCACATTCCCAAAATCCAGCTTCCCTGAAGGGGCCAGGTTCTCTTCTATTACTTTGATGTAATTTGGAATGCTGTAGTCCCACTCTGATTCCTGCATCTTCAATTCCCTGAAGAAAACAAGTCCTAAATCCCCAAAACAGTTCTATTGTGGTCATAATACAGAGAAAGATGAAGGCAGGAAATAATCAGAATTAAGTGTAATAAGGGAAGGACGGAGTCACTGTCATGAGGGATTGGACATTTGTTATCAAGGTGGATTCAATAAATCTAGGACAAGGCAAAGAAAGTAAAGTATAAAAAAAAAAAGTAGACCAGTATAAAACAGTTAACCTCATTCAGAACATTATTTTAGACTTTGAATTGGTTACTTTCCAATTTATAAAGTGCTAAACATGTTTTTCAAAACAAAATCTCCCACAACAGGGTAGAGAACCTCGTTGCTCATTTTTTATATTATAGGGTCTCAATTTTCTGATCTGGTAGTTTCTTAACCATTTATTTTATGTTTTAGTAAATGAAGCATTTGGAAGACGAGAGAGGCTTGTTCTCGGCAATGCAAGAACTTCGTCTATTAGCGGCCCCTTTGGGAACAGGAGCTCAGAAACACCAATGGAGTCTTAATGAAGATCATACAGTTTGCTGTTTTATTTATCCTAACTCAGTTTTAAAAAGCTGGCCTAAAGATGCTCCCTGTGTAGCTGCAGCCGTCCAGGTTACTGAAGCAGAGCTGCCTGACGTCCCTCCTTGCAGCTGTGGGGCAGCACTCGGGGCTGGTCTCTGTGCTGACCTTTCAAGCGTGTGGCATACAGGGCTCCACTTGCATTCACTTCTTGAAAGGAGGAATAAAAAGGTTTTTAGAAATTCATTCCTTAAATGTGCCATCTGTCACAGGTAGTCTAGGATGTAAAATAAGTAGTACTTCGTGGAATTTGAAAAGGAGAAAATCCTGTAATCTTAAGAGATGGGTAAACCTAGGCCTTGGAAGGTGGTGATTAGGCCAAGGGTCCATGGGGGGGGACTACAGTTTCCTGACAATTGTTCTTCAGTTAATGCTCAGTATTGAGAAGTCTCAGTGCTGCTCTTCTATAAGTGGCATGCCTTTTCTGTCCACAGCATGGTATTCAGTGTTACAAAACAAAAGAGATATAATGATAAAGGGTTCAGTCCACAAGAGGATATAACATTTGTAAATAAAGCAAATGGTAAGTGATTCATTAGACCAAATGGACTCAGATAATACATGGACTATTCCATCCAAAAGCAACAGAATACACAGATCATGTGATGTTACACCACAAAGACAAGTCTCAATAAATTAAAAATCTTATAAAACATCTTTTCTGACTACAGTATTATAACGTTAGAAATCAGTTACAAGAAAAAAAATGGGAAAATTTTACAAACGTGGAGATTAAACAACATGCTACTAAACAACTAATGTGTCAGAAGAAATCGAACAATGAAAATACAACATATCATAATTTATGGGCTACAGCAAGAGTAGTTAAGGAAAGTTCCTAGCAATAAATGCGTACACTCAAGAAAAAAGATTTCAAACCACCTCACTTTACATCTCAAGGAACTAGGGGAAAAAAGCCCAAACTTAGGAAGGGAAAAGGTCAGCATGGGAAATGGAATAGAAACCAAAAAGACTAGAAAATATAAATGAAACCAAGAGCTGTTTTCTTGGAAAGGTTAAACTGACAAACCTTTACTTGACTCAGTAAGGAAAAGAGAAGGACTTAGAACTGAAAGGGAAAATGTTATATACACCTTGATACCCCAGAAATACACAGGATAATAAGAGACTTCTATGAGCAACTGTATACCAACAAATACCAAGACTGAATGATGAAGAAATAGAAAATCTGAACATACCAATTACTAGCAAGAATGTTGAATCACTAAACAAAAACCTCCCACCGAAGTCCCAGACCAGATGGCTTCACTGGTGAATTATATATATTAAACAAGCTAACTTTTAAACCAATCTTCAAACTTCCATAAAATAGAAGGGAATACTTCCAAACTCATTTTAGGAGGCCAGCATTACCCTGATACCAAAACCAGGTAAGGATGCCACAAGAAAAGAAAATTAAAGGTTAATGTTAATAATGAGAAATCTACAAAGTATTAACAAACTGAATTCAGCAACACATTAAAATGATCATACTCCGTGATTAAGATTTACCTCAGGGATGCAAGAGTGGTTCAACATCCGCAAATCAATTAATGATACCACATCAATTAATATGAGACCACATTAACAAAAAAGTCATACCTGACAATTCAACATCCACTTATGATAAAGCAGGTACAAAGGGAATGTACCTCAACATAAAGGCCGTATGTGACAAGCCCATAGCTAACATTCAATGGTGAAAAGTTGAAAGCTTTTCCTTGAAGATTAGAAAGAAGACAAGGATGACTTCAACTTAAATTTTTATTCAGTGTAGTATTGGAACCCTTAGCCAGAGCAGGAAAAATAAAAAGCATCCAAATCAGAAAGTAGTAAAATCATCACTGTTTATAGATGACAAGTATAGAAAACCCTAAAAAAGCTACAAAAAAACCTTAGAACTAATAAATTCAGTAAAGTTGCAGGATACAAAATCAATACACAAATCTGTTGCAGCTCTATACACCAATAAACTATCAGAAAAAGAAATTAAGGCAATCCCATTCACAATTGCATTAAAAAGGATAAACTACCTTAAGAATAAATTCAACCAAGGAGGTAAAAAATCCATACATTTAAAACTAAGACACTGAGGAAAGAAACCAAAGACACAAGTAAGTGGAAAGATATTCAGTGCTCACGGATTAGATGAATACTATTGAAATGCATAAACTAACCAGAGCAGTCCACATCTTCAGTACAACCCATTTTAAAATTCAAATGGCATTTTTCATGAAAATTGAATAAATAATCCTAAAATTTGTGGGGAACCAGAAAAGATCCTAAATAGTCAAATCTTGAGAAAGAAAAAAGCTAAAGGCACATGCTTCTTGAGTTCAAACTATATCACAAAGCTATAGTATGAAAAAAAGTAAAATAAAAACGTTGGACTACATCAAACTAAAAAGCATCTATGCAACAAATGAAACCAAAAAATGAAAAGGCAATCTACAGGATGGGAGAAAATATTTGCAATTATATACCTGATAAGGAGTTGAGATCCAAAGTATATCAAAAATTCATACGACTCAAGAGCAAAAACAATCCAGTTTAAAAATGGACAGAGGATCTGAATAGACAGTTTTCCAAAGACAGAAGCCATAGGTACATGAAACAGAACTCAACATTACTAATCATTCAGTAAGTGCAAATCAAAACTACAATCGGATACCACCTCATACCTGCTGGAATGACTATTAATCAAAACAAATAATATGTTTCAGCAAAGACTTGGCGAAAAGGGAGTGTAAACTGGCACAAATACTACAGAAAACGGATGGAGGTGCAGCTACTCAGAAAATTAAAGACCATGCTAATGTATGATCCAGGAATTCTACATCTATGTATTCAATAGAAGAAAATGGAAACACTTAACTTGAACAGAAAGATGTAACACCAGTGTTCACTACAGTGTTACTTACAATAGCCAAGACACAGAAACAAGCTATGGATGGATGGATAAAGAAAATGTATACACACAAACACACACACACACAAACTAGTCATAAAAAAGAAGGAAATCCTGCTGTTCCTGACATGGATGTACCTTGAGGGCATTATGTTAAGTGAAGTAAATCAGAGAAAGACAAATATTGAACTGTATGATTTCACTTCTATGTGGAATCTAAAAAAAAAAACAAAACACTACCACTCAAGATGATAGCTACAGAGAAGAAACTGGTCGTTGCCAGAGATGGGGGTAGTGGGTGAAATGGGTAAAGGGGATCAAAAGGTATAAATTTCCAGTTATAAAATTAAGTTCTGGGGATGTAATATACAGCTTGGTGACAATAGTTACTAACACTGTGCTACATATTTGAAAGTTGCAAGGGTAAATTTTTAAAGTTCTCCTCATAAAAATTGTGTTGAATGATGTTAACTAGGACTTACTGTGGTAATTCACAATATAGGCAAAATTAATCATTATGTTATACATCTGAAACTAATGTTATATATTAATAAAAAAGGGAAAGAATGTAAACCAGTAAGGGTGTGCACCTTTAAGCAAAAGACAAAATGTATCTTAACTGCCTCTGTCAGTAGACAAAGTGTATTACTTCGCACAAACTTTATTTCTCCTAAAAGAACTTCCTCTCCTCCAGTATGAGTTAAATACAACAAAAAAGCAATGATACAGCTATATTAAAAGTGAAGACTCAGAGTGCCCTAGAGCTCTGTGGCAGGTTAACTGGGAGTACTCTCTGAAACAAAATCTGTAATAAACAGGGAACAGAATTATGTGGTGGTAAGTCAGACTTTATTTTTGGGGGCTCCAAAATGACTGCAGATGGTGACTGCAGCCATGAAATTAAAAGACGCTTACTCCTTGGAAGGAAAGTTATGACCATCCTAGATAGCATATTAAAAAGCAGAGACATTACTTTGCCAACAAAGGTCCATCTGGTCAAGACTATGGTTTTTCCAGTGGTCATGTATGGATGTGAGAGTTGNTAGGTGGTCCAGCCCAACATCCACTACACAGTCCAACATCTAGTTGCACAAATGCTGGACTAAGAAATACAGATCATAGGAAATCCCAAGGAACTAAGTCATTGAGGAACTATAGCACCAAAAGCCAGGAGAAAAGAAACTCAGAAAATTTTACCAAAATTTTGGGACTATTTTTTGCTCCTTAGGAACATGTGGATTATAGAAATGTAGCAAAGGGCCTGAGAAGCTGACCTTTTTTTTTTCCTTTTCACTGAAGTGCTAGTAGGAACCAATTGGCATTGAGAGGCATCAAGTAGGTGCTACTTGAATAACCTCTCAAGGCTTTGGGTTGGCCTAGAAGTAATGACTAACCAGAAAATGTACCTCCCACAAACAGACTGAAGGCAAGTTTTGAACCACCTGAGTTGTAATTCATGAATGTAATCCAGGATTGTTAATACCCTTACCTGCCTACCAAAACCACAAGTTCTCTCTAGGGGAAGATAGTATATTGGGCCATATATTTTTATTATTTGATATGTGATGAAATCAGGGCATAAAAATAACCAGGTATAGAAGGAAACAAAACATAATTGAAAACAGAAAACAAAACAAAACAAAAAAAAAACAGATAATAGAAACACACAAGAGATCCAAACAAAGTGGTTATCAGAAACAGATCTTGGGGCATCCCTGGTAAAGAATCTGCCTGCTGATGCAGGAGACAAGGGTTCAATCCCTGGTCCAGGAAGATCCCACATGCCACAGAACAGTTAGGCCTGTGCACCCAGGAACCACAACTGTTGAGCCCACGGTGCCACAACTACTGAAGCCCCGTCCCCTAGAGCCCCTGCTCCTCAACAAGAGAGGCCACCACAGTGAGAAGCCCACACACTGAAATGAAGAGTAGCCCAAGGCTCTCTGCAACCAGAGAAAAGCCCAGCACTACCAAAAATAAATAAATAAAAGTACCTATTAAAAAAAAAAAAAAGGAAACAGATTTTGCAATAGCTATCTTTAACATGGTCAAAGAAACTTAAAAATGGACAATTTTGGCCAAGAACTAGTAACTCTATTTAAGATGTAAAGTTTATAACTGAAAGACTTAATAATAGACATGACAAAGTCCATAAATGGCCTTAACAACAGATTAGAAATAACTGAAAAGAGAAAGAGTGAATAGGACAGAAGCAATACATGCAAAATTACTGGCTAGTAGGTTTCCATGACTACTTAGTCATCAAATTACTCACTAAACAAATGGCAGATTTGAAGGCACCAGCAGCCCCACTACAGAATATACCAAAGAAAACCCTATTTAAGCACATAATGGTAAACTGTTGAAAACTGTAGCAAAGGCTAAGACACAACCACAGTGAGGCAGAAAGGAGAATTCATCTTTTTTTTTTTTGGAGGAGAATTTAAAGGAGCAACAATTCAACATACAGTGAATTCATAACAAAAATAACGGAAGCTGGAAGATCACAGAAGTATACATTTAAGGTACTGAAGGAAAACAGCAGCCAAATTTCAGTTCTCTATCTAGCAAAACAATTCTTCAAGAACAAAAGTGAACGTTACACTCAAATGAAAAACAGAACTTCCCGTCAGGAGACCTACACTAGAATAAATGGAAGAGGCAAATATTAAAAATGCACAAAAGGTAATTCTGTGACAGAGAGAAATCTAAAGAATCAAAGTGCCAAGAAAGTACAGGTCAACA